GCAGCCAGCACGCACCGACCCACTGCAGGTTCCCGAGCTGCCCTGACCCAAGCTTTCCGCCCGCCCAGCTGCAGCATTGCTCAGTCATTGTGCTACCTACCCGCTGCGCTTCGTCTGCATCCCGCTCCTTCGCCGAGCAATCATCTCGCAACCCAGAGACACTCGAGCTGCTGCACCGCGCATACCCACGCACCACCATGAGCTGGTGACTGCCCGACAACTGCATCGCCCCTTCCCCACCACGCACGAGCTCCTTCCCTAACCGTCTGACACCTGCCCCTCGCTCCTTCCCAACCGGCAAGTTTGCCTCTGGCGCCGCTGCCGGCCACCAACACGACGATGCGCCGATACAGGCCTGGAGGAGGTCCCGTGCGGGCTCATGGCGGCGTGCCGGTGCCTGATCCCTTTGCCATGGTACGCGCATACGACAGCGACTCCAATCCCGCCCGCCCGATACGTCCCTCCCCGCTGGCCGCCTCGACGATTCAGGGTCTACCGCTAGACCTGCTCGACCGCCTGCGCTCCTTCCCGCTGTTCCAGGCAGCCCCCGACTCCTTCCTCACGCAGGTCGGCCTGCATCTCAAGCCGCAGCTATACCAGCCTCATGACACAATTCTCACCGAGGGCGAGACGGGCAAGGCCATGTACTGGCTGGTCCGCGGAGCTGTGCGGGTGACATCGCGGGACCAGGAGAGCACATACGCAGAGCTGAAGCCCGGTGCGTTCTTTGGCGAGATCGGTATCCTCATGGACATCCCCCGCACCGCCACCATCATAGCCAACATGCGCTCGCTGGTAGTGCGCCTGAACAAGGAGGACCTCATGAAGGAGCTGCCCGCGTTCCCCGAAGTGGAAGTGGCCATCATGCACGAAGCGCAGGAGCGACTGGCCATTCTGCAGCGCAAGAAGTCGGAGTTAGGAGGCAAGCGTCCTGCGATACCCATGCGTCAAATCACAGGCAAGCGTGACCGCGAAGATGGCGACGTGATCATGGCCGAGAGCGGCACTCTACGCGAAGGAGAGATCAATGCCTTCAAGAAGAGGAAGTCTCCCAGTCCGGGCCTCGCTGAAGCCATAGCCCATAGTGCCTTTGGAAGCGGCAGTATTCATGTGCGGCCGCTGCTCAAAGAGCTGCCTCTCTTCTCCGAGCTGCCCGACGACATCCTCCATTTCATTGGCATGCGCGCCCAACCCTGTTCGTTTGATCCTTTCACAGACATAATAAAACAGGGCACACAAGGACGTGACGTCTTCTTCATCGTGAAAGGCGAGGTTGAGGTCATCAGCATGAATGTACCAGAGCAGAACGGTACCACTTCACCCATAGGTCGTCGAAAATCCATCGCCGCGGGCGAGCAACATTTCCAGGAAGTAAAGGCCCGATTGAGGCCCGGGCAATACTTTGGCGAGGTCGTCAGTCTCTCGCTTGCGCCACGCCGCACCGCTACGGTCCGCTCCGTATCGGCTGTCGAATGTCTCATGATCAGCGGTGACACTTTGAATCACCTCTGGGAGAAGTGCACGCCAGATGTACGCCGACAGGTCGAGTCGGTCGCGAAAGAGCGGTTACGGACCGCCAAGGACGAAGATGTACACATGCTGGACGCGAACAGTACACCCAACATCAACGATCTAGCCATCGCGGACCATATAATACCCCGTACACCACGACGCAAGAAGAGTGTGCCAACTGTCACTTTCAATGACACCATCGACATCGACAATCCGGTGACACCTACCCGGAGAGACGAAAAGATGATGGAACCATTTGATCCAGACCCATTTCTTAATGTCGATTTGGACAATGTCAGGTCGAGGTCAAGGAGAGGCTCACTAGCTCCACCCCCACCTGGATCAATACCGGACTCGCCATCCAGCCCAGCAAAAACAGATTTCCCCAAGTCACCATCGCCCGGTGGCTCGCCCCTTTCCCCATCACCATCATTTTCCATATCGAAGCATGCGTCCACCCCACCAGAGATGCCACTCGACTATAAACGCCCTCGGCTAGTCAACAGACCAAGTAGATATGGAAGAGGCATACTGTCGGATCAAGTGCTCACTAAGATTCTTGCGAATCTAGACATACACGAGCTGATGAAGTTGCGTGTAATCTCTTCGCACTGGAACAAGTTAATATCAGAGTCGCCGGATATACTCCACGACCTTGATCTTAGCAAATACAATCGCAAAGTCACGGATAGATCGCTTGTAGACGTAATATGCCCATTCGTTGGCAGTCGTCCACGATACATCAACATCAGTAACTGCTTCCACGTGACAGACGAGGGTTTCGCCGAGCTGGCAAAGACTTGCGGTCCGAGCGTAAGAATCTGGCGCATGAAGAGCGTGTGGGACATCACTGGACCAGCTGTACTGGAGATGGTGCAGAAGGCGAAGGGTCTTGAGGAGGTCGATCTCAGCAACTGCAGGAAGGTAGGCGACAACCTTCTCGCTCGCGTGATAGGGTGGGTGGTCCCAGAGATGCCACCTCAGATGGCAATGGCGCATGCGCAACATCAGGCTCAGATAAATGGTCGCCGACAAGGAAAGGGTGCTAATCAGCCTGCTCCGCAACCGCTGCCACCTGGTACTGTTGTTGGATGTCCGAAGCTGCGACGTCTCACGCTGAGCTACTGCAAGCACATCACCGATCGCAGTATGGCACATATCGCCGTCCATGCAGCAAACCGCATCGAGAGCATCGACCTAACAAGATGCACGACTATCACCGACGTTGGCTTCCAACACTGGAGTGTCTATCCGTTCCCACGGTTGACAAAGCTGTGTCTCGCAGACTGCACATATCTGACCGACAACGCAATTGTGTACCTGACGAACGCAGCAAAAGGGCTCAAGGAACTGGATCTCGTAAGTCCACTATCTTCCATTTGATGCTAGGCAGAATGCCCGTACTAACGCATATCAGTCTTTCTGCTGCGCCCTTTCTGACACCGCAACTGAAGTCCTTGCTCTCGGCCTCCCTTCACTTACACACCTCAATCTTGCCTTCTGCGGCTCCGCGGTCTCGGACACTTCTCTTCGCTGTATATCCCTACACCTCCTCGAACTCCGAAATCTCTCTGTACGAGGTTGTGTCCGCGTCACTGGCACTGGTGTTGAAGCTGTCGTGGAGGGCTGCAGAGACCTCGAACGCTTCGACGTTAGCCAATGCAAGAATCTGGGTCGATGGATTGAAGCTGGTGGTGTAGAGAGCGTGAAGAGTCGCGGAAGAAACGTCAAATTTATATGCGTTAGCGATGGGAGGTGGAGAGATGGCAAGGGGAATGTGAGGAAATGATGAGGAAGATGACTTTGTATGGATACTATGTGTATGGTATATGTTAAGACGGCCGCAGCGACACATTTGGCTGATCTACGAAAGCGTGTACATTGGCTCATGATAGAGGAGAACTACGAAACGGATGTCGGCTTGATTGTATGTGTCTCTAGGTGGGGTTTTTCGCATCTACGCAAGATACCAGGCTTTTGTTCGGTGTATTAGCGATGTATTACTTGGAATATTAGATCTCCTTGCTCATGATAGCGGCTTCTTGTACGTTCTGATCTCTTCCACGAACTCAGGAAGGATTGAGTGTGGTTTCTCTTGTTCTTTCAAACTGTATTACACGGCGACGATGAGCCTCCTGCCCGCGTGTAATCATTTAAAATGCTCTAGCTTCATTTGGGTAGGCGTACTCTGGAGCCTAGACCATCGACACTCACCCGGCAGCTTGTGCTTTCTTTGTTTTACTTCACCCAACTGCTCCCGCGTAGGCAATTTGACCGCATTGTCCATCATCCCAGTCAAATATATCGATCTCGCCGCCCGGCTTCGTTGCATACCTAGCCAACGTAAATCTGCCCTCAGAGTCGCTCGCCCACAATGTCAACATCAGCGAGGGAATTCGATCGAGCACATATATCGGCGTAATTGGTACCTCTATTACTTAATTCTGGTGGCTAACAATCTTGGTAGTATGCTAAGGGATGTTGCACGTCTCTCAACCAAGCCTCAACAATCGACTCGCGAGCGTTATCGACGTAGAGTGGAAGTGAGAGTAAAGATCGAGGAGTACTCAAAATCCGAGTGTCTTACTCTCTGCTTGATGATGCAAGAGAAATTGCCTCGCGAGCTGAGAGATATGGTCTACGAAGCCCTACTTGGAGAACCTCAGACCTACTACTTTGACGACGATGCACACGGTTTGGGATTTTCGGATCCAGCTAACATTGTGGCCCACAATCCCCATATCGGCGACAAGTTGTTCCTCGGCGAAGAAACAATTACTGAACTTGCGGAAATGTGGTATCGGCACTCAGTCTTCAATTTCCTCGGTGATGCTACCGTGGCTCTCTTATTCGGCAACCAAACATGGGCACTGCCTGAACTTGATCCCGCTCGGTTGATACGCCACGTATACATGACTCTAGCCCCCGGAGATCGTCAGAACAACATAAGACACCAGGCTGTGGAAGCTAGGGACGAGCTGCTTCTGCCATCGGACTTCGAGCAACTTGCGAAACTGCAGCAACCGGCGACCTTCACAATCGGTATCTACTTCGAAGATTGGTATTATCATGGTGAGAAGAGAGATTCCACGAAGACCTCCGTCAATACAATGTCCAGAAGGGTTTTCCCAGTGTTAAAGCGGTTGATCGCTTCCGGCGTGGGCGTCGTTGTTAAGATATACAAAGCGGAGCCTGTAAAAGTGGGATTGGAACATCTCGGCAGCGAAGGTTGGTCGAAGCTGGTTCGTGGGGCGCATCTCCGACAGTGAAATAAGGTACAGGGTCACTCGCTCCAAAGCATCATGTTCAATATGAACGGGTTTGAGAAAACACCTAGGTATCTCGATTATGTCTAGTTCTGGCTAGTCAAAGCCTAATCGAGACTAGCCACGCTTAGCCTCGATCTCAACCTGGGCACCTGGCTTTTGTGAACAACCTGGCACTTCATTCTTCATACATTAACTCCCGCAACTCGTTCTATCCCCAGCATGTCACAAACTAATACGACTTTCGATCCGGCTCTCGTCTCCAGGTAAGTACTGCGCTTTCACTTGCAGTGCAACTACTCATAAATCCCAACAACAGTATGCTGAGAGAAGCTCAACGCCACGCGATGCAGAGTGCAACACTGCGAGACAAAGCGCGCGAACACGTCGAGAACTGGGCAAAATCGTCGTGTCTTAGTCTGTGCACGGAGATGCAATCGCGATTACCCCGCGAGCTACGAAATATGGTCTATGCATCAGTTTTCCAAGATGCTGGTAGCTTCTCGGCATCTTGGCCCTACCCAGAAGGCGTACTGAAAGACTGCCCACATCTTCGCGACATCACATATGTAGGCAATGAAACACTTGTCGAATTAGCTGAAGAGTGGCATCATTGCTACATCTTCGGCCTCGAGCTTGATGGCAACTGTCAGGGTCTCGTCAACACCGGAAGCGAGATTTGGGGTTTGCCTGGTCTGGATTTTGCCCGACATATCCGCCACGTAGAAGTCGAAATACGTCCTGCATATTCGGAAGCACGTGTGGGATCCGATGACCTCATAGGATTGCCGGGAGGCTGGAGATGCCTGTATAAGCTGCAGCGACCGACTACGCTTACCCTGAAGGCGGACTTCGTGGAATGGCTAGATAGCGATCAGCCAGGTGATTTGCATGCCCAGGTCGTTGAGCTGTTGACATACCTGATTGGCGCTGGTGTCAAAGTAACTGTTGAACTTGCAGCTTCTCATAGATCCAAACCCTACAGTGGAAGTGTTGGTTTGGAACATCTCGAGAACGATAGATGGTGTGATTTGCTTTACCGAGTATGGAATGATTAAATTGGGCGTGTGGTATGGTTATCGGGTGACCTGTATAACAATAGACCATTACTTGGTTAGCACATGGAGTCCGTCAGAATAAAAGCAGAAGTAGTGAAAGGCCCTGTATGGATCTTAATTTCGTCGTTCCAAGATTGTTGCTCTTTCATGGAGCAACCCGACGCTGCCTCCCATCGAGGTTTACATGAAAACGCATTCAGTCTTCCGTCCTAGGCCTCCCACAGTTTTGATGTTTCTAGACACCACATCCGAGACGTTACGCTATGTCCGACTCGATTCGTGCGTGTTGTCTGGAATGTCGCGCTGGGACGTCGTGCTGAGACGACAGTTTGATAAACTCCATTCCTCTTTACTCCTTCAGCCAAACCTCTTGCCGTATCCTTTGACCACATCGTCTAATATGGTACGCATCCTCTTGCATCCTTCGATACCCACTGCCAGCATACCCTCTAACCTCTCCATTCGTACCCTAGTCTCCATGACGCACACAGCAACGTTATCGGTATCCCCCAATGTCCCTACCGTCAAGAACGGCAACTCCAATTCCTCCTGGTTGTTGAGATCCAACAGCGGGTCATCGGCAGACGCGTTGTCCGCCGCTGACGCAGAAGCAGAAGAAGCGGCTGTGCAAGCGACCAGATAATCTGTCATAGGTATACCCGCATCGATAAGCGCCAATGTTGACGCATTAATACACGCAGCCAATAGCGACCCATCCTGCGAAATGATGTGGACGTTCAATGTAATTGTCGAATGCGGGTAAAGATGCAGCAGCAGCACGCCCTCAAACGCCGACCTCAGGCAGTGCTCCATCTCACTTGTCCGCTTATCGCTCTTCCTCTTCCTCCGCTCTACACCGCTGAAGCCCGCGAAATTTATCTCGACCTCAACTTTGGCCTGCTTGTCTGCGCCGCCTCTTTGCCCGCTCTGTTTGCCCTCGGCGGGACCGGTGACGGAAACGAGGATCTTGGTGTTGCCCATCTCGAGATATGACGATCCATCGGCGGCGGCTTGCGTGGAGATTTGCGCGTGGATTCGGCGTAGTTCGTTCCAGCGGCGGCCATCGAGGCGGAGGAGCGCGAGCGAGTAGGTGCTGGTGTCTAGCGGCATCTTGGTGGTGTCGCAGGAGTGTAAAAGGGCTGTATATTGCGCGACGCGGTTCTCCGATCCGTGACTGGTTCGTGAAGACAGCTGATTTTGGCAGGGCGTGCAATTGCGCGCGATGATGCGGGCTTGCAGGCTCGAGCTCCAGATTTTGGCGGAAGTTCTTGCAGGGGTCTGCTGCTAGACGCGCCCCGCTTTCACGTGAGAGCGTGTTAGCGTGTTTGGGCAGCTTGGTGGCGCTTCCTTTCACGCTCCACTCCAGGTGCTTCCTTCCGTGACAATCGCCGCAGATCAGGACAGTGCGCCAATATGCGATTGTCAAGCGCCCGTACCAGTGATAAGCTGAGCAAAATCACACAGCGTTCACGAACGACCCCTGCTACCCGCCACCTCGGCCATCATGTCCTTCAGTCGCGACAAGTCGAAGGATGAACAGAGAGCGCGAAGAGTTTTTGGCGAGAGTGGTGAGGAAGATGACGATCTTGACATCATTGAAGCGTCTAGAAAAGGTTTGGATCTCTCCCAGTATATTGACGGTCAGTCGATGCTTCCTCGACCTTTGACAATGTGCTAATACTTGGTAGTCCTGACTCAAAGCCAGACTCAGTCGCAAAAGGCTACAGACGAGGTCACAGAAGACGAAGACGAAGAGGACGACGATACTGATGACGATGCAATGGATGAACCAGAACCACGAACTAGAGATGTCACTAGCTCAGGTACCGATGACGATGAGTTGTTAGAAGCCGAGTACGATCCAAGGGCTTTTCACAAAGAATGGACGGGACGCAAGACCGAGAAACGGAAGCGCACCACTGCTGAAACCAACCGGATTCGCAGTGAAAAGAAGAGTAAAGCAACGGCTGCAACCAGTATCGTGGGTCGCAGACCTCCACCCAAGAAAAATGGCTATGGTCCGACAGGCTTCAGTACCGACACCTTAGCCGATGATGAGGGCGCGACAGCTTTCTTGGACGACCCCATCCCTGACTACTTCATATCGCGACAAAAGACACTCAAGAAGTTGCACGAATCTGGACTGCGATACCCTCCCAGTTATCACGACGTTGACTGGTTTAACGCGGGCACTGAAGAGAAGCCAGAACTTGACAACTCCGTACAGCAGCAGCGCGAAAAGAAGGACATCAGACTCCGCGGGTCGCATGGGATCATACCTGGCCCCATCGCTCAATGGTTGCGCGACTACCAGGTTGAAGGCGTCCAGTTCTTGCATGAAAAATTCGTCAAGCAGACCGGTGCGATTCTAGGTGATGACATGGGACTGGGAAAGACTATCCAGGTCATCGCATTCCTCACAGCAGCATTTGGTAAGACGGGCACTGAGCGCGATGCCAAATGCATGCGGAAGATTCGTGGTCTGAGCAAGGCTCGTTGGTATCCGCGGGTACTCATCGTCTGCCCTGGTACGCTCATGCAAAATTGGGAAGATGAGCTCTCCAAGTGGGGCTGGTGGGAAGTCTACAAATACCATGGCCCCGTCAAGGCCGATCGGAAAGGCGTTCTCGGCGCTGCAGCTAAGGGCATGTTAGAGATTATGATTACGACATACACGACATACCGCAATCATGAGAGCGAGATCAACACCATCGACTGGGACTGTGTCATCGCTGATGAGTGCCATCAAATCAAGAGCAAGGACTCCGAGATCACCAAAGCAATGAACAAAATCAACGCACTGTGTCGCATTGGGTTGACAGGTACCGCGATTCAGAACAAATATGAGGAGCTCTGGAATCTCCTCAACTGGGTACGACCTGGCGCATACGGGTCAGCCCAAGAGTGGAAGCAGAAGATTAGTCTTCCGCTGAAGCTAGGCCAGGCTCACGATGCCACCAACGCTCAGCTTGCCGACTCGCGAAGTCGAGCTCAGGATCTCGTTCACAATATCCTACCTAGTGTCTTCCTTCGGCGTATGAAGACCCTGATCGCTGACCAGCTCCCAAAGAAGAGCGATCGCGTCATATTCTGCCAGCTCACAGAGACTCAAGCTGACGCCTATCGAACCTTCCTTGAGAGCGACAGGTGTGAGTACATACGTACTTCGAGGGAAAAGTGCGATTGTGGGTCCGGGAAAAGCAGAGGCTTCTGCTGTTACTCCGATGTCGAAGGCGAGAAGTGGTCAAACTTCATCTTTCCCTGCATGGTCACATTCCAGAAACTCGCAAACCACCTAGCCCTAATCGTGCCAATGTCGAGCGAGAATGCAGAGAAGCAAGACAAAGATCGTCAAACACTGGAGCTAGCCTGCCCTAATACGCACAATGATCTCTTCAAGATTCGAGACAACATCTTGGTACAGTCTCAGCGAGAGTTCTGTGGAAAATGGAAAGTACTGCGGCGACTACTTGACTTCTGGCACTCGAATGGCGACAAGGTGCTTATCTTCTCACATTCCGTTCGCCTGTTGAGGCTGCTTAGAGGTCTCTTCGATGTCGACGGTACAAAGTACAATTTCTCGTACCTTGACGGCAGCATGAAGTACGAAGATCGTTCCCAGGCTGTTGCAGACTTCAACGCAGATCCCAACCAGTTCGTGTTCCTAATCAGCACTAAGGCGGGAGGAGTGGGTCTGAACATCACGTCTGCTAACAAGGTTGTCGTGATGGATCCGCATTGGAATCCATCCTATGACCTGCAGGCACAAGATCGGGCGTACCGTATTGGTCAGACACGCAACGTTGAGGTATTTCGACTAGTGTCAAGTGGTACTATCGAAGAGGTAGTGTACGCTCGTCAGATTTACAAGCAACAGCAAGCGAACATTGGCTACAATGCTTCGGAAGAACGTCGCTACTTTAAGGGTGTGATGGACCAATCCACCAAAAAGGGCGAACTGTTTGGTCTGGAAAACCTCTTCACCTTTCAAGAGCACAGCGTGCTGCTTCGCGACATCATGCACAAGACGAACGTTGCTGAATCAAAAGCCGGCGTCAACGCTTATGATTTCCATGTCGATGAATCGCAGTACGACTCTGAAGACGAGGATATCCTCTCCAACAAGAACCTCGGCCTTGATGACGACGCTAATATCGCCGGCATCAAGAAGTTCGCTGATTCACTTCTATCTACAACTACTGGTGGCAAGGGCAAGATGAGGGCCACAAGGCGCACTGGGCCTGATCCAATCAACGCAATTCTTGCGAAGGCTGGAGTTCAATATACGCATGAGAACTCGGAGGTCATCGGACGCAGCGAGATAGAAGCTCGACTAGGCAAACAGGCCATGGAGGTACGCAATGACATCGATCTTGCAGGCAAACGCGTCTTCCAGGGTACGGAGTCGCAATCTCAATCGCAGCATCGATCCAGTAATCGGGACGATGGGGATGAGACCGACGCTGAAGGAGACGACGAGGTCCATGTTACTGGTAGTGCGACGAAAGGCGAGTTCAAGATCAATTACCGGTATAGGCCGAGTGAGGATGTGCGAAAGCGGCAGTTCTGTAGCATGGCGGAGAGTATGGGCTTTGATGATCCGGTAGAATTTGCGCTGCTTGTGGAAAGCAGTACGCAGGAGGAGAGGAGGAAGATGCTCGAGCGCTTCTATCGTGGGCGGAGGAGGCAGATGATGGGTGATCTTGGTACACTGAGATAGCCTGCACAGTCACTCCGTGTGTCGCGCGCAATCGCTTAGATGTCCTGGAGGAGGCATTCGTCAATGTAGATATCCATATCGTCCAAAAAATATAATGCCGTGGTTGTCGTTGCGTTACGTCGCACCTTCCTGCACCGGCTCGCTAACCCCACAATCGCACCCAGCCACTCGGTTACACTAAATCAAAGCTTTCCAAACATCACCACGACGCCCAAGAATGCCAATTTGCGGATTTCAGCCTTGACATGAGAAAATCTGTGGAAATATACCGTGCAAAGTAAATGGCTCGTGGTGCAAGCGATACGCAGGTAGTGTACCGATCCAGGCAAGGCTGTTGCTGTTGCTGTTGCCTCTTACCTTCGTCTCAGTCGTCCCTTGTATCTTCATGGGTTATTTACCATGTATCATTCGCTCCTCGATGTGTTCTTCTGACCATCGAACCAAGCGCATTTATGAAGAGGCGTCTCATCCGGATCGACTGGAATAACCAGCAGGCTCAGGGCAGGCATGCGCTCCCAGTAGTGTCATTGAGACACCCTCCCGACTTTCGCACACTGCCGGGCTGCGATCCGAACTTTAGCCAAGATTCAGCCATCGTTGGCTAAAGCATACCGCGGGGAACAACGTGCATCATGGTGCATATCCTCCACGTCGGCACGAGCATATCTTCCCGACCAGTGGAAGTAGAAGCCGACAGGGTGGTCGAGTCAAGACGGAGAAGAGCTAGCGGAAACGGAGGGGCTTTTCTGGACTTTCTCTAGCGATACGCGGATGTGTGTCGGAATGCAGCGAGTACCTCCGCAGTGGTATGGCAGTGGTTACAGTGCTAAGGAGGCTAGCTTTGCCATGGCGATGATGGCCTTGGTATCCTCGTTGCACCGGGATTGCGGCTCCAAAATTTCGGCCGGGTACGGGCGTAGCAAACGTTGCGCCAAATGTTACGAGATTTGCAGTCCACTGCGGCTGGCCTTTGCGGAGACAGAAGAAGAGCAGTCTCTCTTTACCACCAAGACATACGATCCTCACTCAGAGCTTTAAGCACTCACTGACACTGTTATCCTGGAGAAGGCACCGGAATCTCATAACCGGCATGCGGCACGCCCCCGGATCGGACGTTTTCCAAATGCTCCGTAATCGTGAACGTCGAGTCATTTACAAAGGGCGGAATGTGGAGTTGCGCGTCAGGCCCAGGGTGCGCAGTTTTTTGTTTGCTCACATGACAGCTGAGCTACCAGCTCGAAAGGGTGTGTCGAACCGTTCGTTATATGTCATGAGCATTCGTAGCGTGTGCGCGCACCCAATCACCAATCTGCCGGACCAGTATTCGGCGGGAAATGAGAGCTTAGCTTCGGGGGCTTTACCCCGACCCACGTTTCCCCCACAATGCACTCCACACTCATCGCCTTGGCAAATCGTCGGCTCCAGCTAATGGCAATCTCGACTGCGCCAAGTTCGATGAGAAGCTGGTTGTTGGTACGGGTCCAAGACAATGGTCTACCCGAAGTTTCCCCAAGTAGAAGCAAAGGTTCAAAGTCCCTCGGACGTAGCGCACATGTCGGCAACGCATCGTGACGGGGTACATTGAAGCCAGAGTACAAATATCTGGGGTCAAGGCTGCCGACTGAGTGGTCAGTAGCATCCGACCTCATCCTTTACCTTGTGCCTCAACTCATACTACCGGCAAGATGGTCGCTCGCAACCGCAGTCAGCGCAAGCTGAACACCTTCACAACGCTGTTCTTTGCTGCAACAGCCATGTCAACCGCCATTCGCGTTCCGGCTTCAAGTGGTGGCACATACCCACGAATGACATCGCGGTCAACAGAGATGGACTCGGCACCATACCGCGATGCTTCCCTATCAGTGGATGAGCGTGTGGAGGATCTCATCCAGCGCATGAACATGGAAGAAAAGGCCGGACAGCTCTTCCAGCAGATCAACTTCCCAGGACCTAACGGAACCCTATCGAACACAACTGCGCTTTCAATCAAAGGCAAGCACATGACACACTTCAACCTCAACGGTGCCATCACCGATGTACGCCAATCTGCACGGTGGCACAACCTTCTTCAAGAGATGGCCCTAGACACCAGGCTCGGCATACCAGTCACGCTCTCTTCAGATCCAAGGCACACTTTTGTTGATGCCACCGGCAGTCAGATCGCTGCAGTCAAGTTCTCGCAGTGGCCCGGAAGCTTGGGACTGGCAGCGTTACGTGACGCTGAGCTCATCCACACCTTTGCGGACATTGCACGACAAGAGTACAAGGCTGTCGGTATCAGGTCTGCACTGCACCCTCAGATTGACGTAGCCACCGAACCGAGATGGGCCAGGATCACCACGACAATGGGCGAGAACGCCACATTGACCGCTGAGCTTGTGGTCGCATACATCAAGGGCTTCCATGGCCCTGGTGAGTTCGGAAAGGATTCCGTGACCACCGTCTCAAAGCATTTCCCTGGAAGTGGGCCGGTCGAAGACGGTGAGGACAGCCATTTCACCTACGGCAAGAATGCCACATACCCAGGAAACAACTTCGAGCATCATCTCATCCCGTTCAAGGCTGCTATCGCAGCTGGCGCAAGGCAGATGATGCCTTACTACTCCAGGCCTATGGGCACCAAGTACGAGGAGGTCGCCGCTGGCATGAACAAGGGCATTGTCACCGACCTTCTCCGAGGCGAGCTTGGTTTCGACGGAATCGTCGTCAGCGACTGGGGTCTCATCACCGACGGTGTCATCAACGGACAAGACATGCCAGCTCGTGCTTGGGGTGCGGAGAACCTGACTGAACTCGAGCGTGCCGAAAAGATTATCAACGCTGGCACCGACCAGATGGGTGGCGAGGAGCGCACTGATCTCGTTCTCGAGTTGGTGGAGAAGGGCATCGTGAGTGAGGAGCGCATCGACATGTCGGTTCGCCGTCTTCTCCGCGAGAAGTTCATCCTCGGTCTCTTCGACAACCCTTTCGTGGATCCCGAGGCCGCCGCGGCTAACGTTGCTAAGAAAGAATGGGTCGAGGCCGGATACGAGGCCCAGAAGAAGTCCGTTACTCTGCTCACCAACAAGGATTCCATTCTCCCACTGAAGGCTTCCGACTGCTCCAAGGCCAAGTTCTACGTCGAAGGTATCAACAGCACCTACCTAGAGGCCCGCGACCTGACTGTCGTCGCAACCCCTGAAGAAGCCGACTACGCCTTCCTCCGCATGGCCGCCCCTTACGAGCCCCGCCCGGGTGGTTTCGAGAAGAACTACCACTCTGGCTCTCTCGAGTACAACAGCACTGAGAAGGCGCGCCAAGCAGCCATCTACGCTGCCGTCCCCACCATTGTTGATATCTTCCTTGACCGCCCTGCTGCTGTCCCTGAGATTGCCGAGCAAGCCCAAGCCCTCATGGTCAACTACGGTACTAGCCCTCAAGCCTTCCTCGATGTTGTCTTCGGCGTTGACGGTAGCGGTCCGGAGGGTAAGCTGCCGTTCGATCTCCCGAGGAGCGACGAGGCGGTTGAGGCGAGCAAGGAGGACGTGCCGTTCGATACAGAAAACCCTGTCTTCAAGTTCGGACACGGTTTGAGGTATGAGTAGGGGGACGCGCTGTCGAGCCGCTTAGATAGATGACGACTTAACGATATGGTCCTAAAGTCATGATAGCTTAATGTATTTGTTGATACCCATTGCTCTGTTCGTTCTTCGATGTGCTGACTGTTCCGCTGCGCGCCGCAGTCGAGCCGTAACGGTAGATGTCATCTGTTGGGTGCGCGGATCGCGTAGCATGTAACGATATTTCCAAAGTGTTGACACGCGGCAGAGGGAAAGAGCAATGCTGATCGCGCGAGTTGCGAGTAGCGTGCTGATTAAGCGAGACGCGTCTTCCCTACCAGCCGCGTCGCGTGTTTCTGACAAGCTTCCTCACCTGGGCAGAATCCCCCCGACATCGTTCCTCACCTGGGCATCTGTACACGCACTGGGTATCATATCTTTAGCCACGATCGAATCTCTCATTACTTCTCATTCCGTCCCCAGTACCTTCATGTTTTGAACCAACTCAAGTATTCCACGTGCTCGGTGATAGCACGCTACATGCCACCGCAAAGAAGCCAAACACAGCTACGGTCATCCACACTACACAACGCGCTAGACACGGAGGAAGAAACCGAGTGAACTCAATCAGTCTACAATGTGCATTCATCTACTCTGTTCTTTATTCCGTCAGCTAATGCTTTTCTCTGTCACCAGTCTGCCTAACCCGCTTTCCGTGTCAGCCATTCCTCGTAACTCTCCACCTGATCGATATTACCCACGACTTCATATTCGACGTCTGTACGTGCCTGAAGGTGCCTACGGACTTCCTGTACCAGACGCCCTTCACGCGCCCCTGTCAGTGCGAAGATGGTAAAGTCGTCGCGTCCGAGGTAGTACTCTAGATCTTCATTAGATTCTGCGCACAATCGCACGCAACGAAGTTGTGGAATCGAATGCAGTGCGCCTACAAGGGCGTCCACGCTAGGGCTGACCAAAGGCTGGCCATGTAAGAAGAACTGCTCCATCGCCTTCCGGTCCTGGGGACCCATCACCATGTGCATGGGTAAGCACATATTTAGTGTCCGCAAATTTCTGCACTCTCGCAGCGACGCGATCATGGTCTGGTATTCTTGGTGTTGCGGTTGTTGATAAACTTCGTACACCCCTTGTACCGTCAAGCCGGCAAGGGCGCTTCTACCTAGAGGGCCAATCTTCTCAAGAAACCGGTGAACGACGGAGCAGTAGTCCTGTGGGTCATAATTCTCTAGGACAATCGTGATGTGGATTTGAGCCCAGAAGAAGGTCTGAACTTCTTTCCGGGTTTGCTTGTCCAAGGCTCCGACAACATGCAGCGCTGAAATGGTGCGGTCACAGCGGAGTTCTGCAAGATCCAGTTCCACATTACATGTCCGGGAACGAGAGAGAAATATGTGATCACTGTTGGCAGTCATCTCCCAGTTTCCAGCTTGTGCGAAATCGCCCGAAGGAGGTTCGAAGAGGGCAAGATCATAGATCATGTTTCGGACCTCACCAGGCAAGTCCGTGAAAGAGATTACGGAAGGATCTCTCTTGAATTCGCTGGCAGGCATCATCTCTGGGTGCTCACGAAGACGACGCTTAGCCTGACTCGTGTGTTCCATGCGCATCTCTCGAAACTGTCGCTCAAGCACGGTGACCATCCGTTGCTTTTTTCCACCTTGGAACATCCCAAGAGATTTCATCTCCTCGCGAAGCTCCGCATAACTCATGGCCGCATAATTTTGCATGTCGTCAGCTTCAAGCCTAGCGAGTCTTGTTTTGGAAGCGATGTAATTGGAGTAGCTCATGTCGGACTTTGGCCTTGCTGCTTGTCGTACCATCTTGGATATCGTTGGAAGTTGAGGGACTTAGATCGGTCTGTTGTGCGTATGGAAGATAAATATCGCGGGTGTTTGCGGTTTTGAGGAGAGAACGCACTAGGTGGATCATAGGGTCTTCGCGGTGTGACTAGTGACTACGAGCACGGACCTGAGCAATGAAATGTTGCCCTACTGCTCAGCCCGAACTGCGGGCTGTATAATATCTTCATGCTGATTTGATCGAGCCTTTGGCGGCGGCGAAAGAAAGACTACGAAATCTGGCACCTAGCACAACGAACACCTGGCATCCCTTCAGAAGATGCCAGGAAGGCGGATCATGCGCGCTTGGACTGCCTTGATTGCTACACATCAGGAGAGTTACTCACTCGGTCAAGTTACGACAACACATACTCTCAGATGACTTACGATATGCCTGCTACGTCGACACGAAGATACTACAAGTAAGTCCTTCTCCAGACCTCTCTTTCCGTGTGCTAGCATCTCTCATTATGATTTTCCCCTGACATCTCAAGCGGAGGTGACCGTCGCTTGCAAGGGCGTTTGTCTCTCAGCATCCAGCGTGACCGACGCGCTCACCTTCCGTCTTTTACTTCTCGACGTGATGGCGGATTGTCTGTTCTAGCGGCAAACGGTGGGGGTCCTTGTTTGTATATAATCTACTCTCCTCATAGGCTTGCTTCTTCTTTTCCTTCTATAACAAGCGGAGTATCTCCATTTTCAGCATCACGCTTTGACATACCACTTCCATTATCCTATAATCGACAAAATACGACAAGATGTCCAACAACACCTCCTCAACCAACGAGCTCGTGTACCGTCTAGAGAGTGACCGTCCAACTGGTTATCAGGTCAACGACTTCGAGGCCTACGCCGACGCCAGCATGGTTACACATTGGCGCACATACAAGCGCAAAACTCCAAACCACGTTCACGGCCGGGATGTCGTTACTGTGGTGAGCGTCAGCAACGCTATCGTAAGTTCCTTTCATGTTCAGTTCCATCATTGTCAATGCCAGTTCACTTCTTCTTCACCTTCACTTTCACCCAAGTATCTACCTACCAATTACTAACGTTGATCAGGATCTGATCGAAAATAACGCCAGCGCGATGGACCAGATTGTCTGGGGCATAACCCATCCTGACGACTGCCATCCTGGCGTCGCGTCCATCATCAGCAACGCAGCCTTGGTCGACCTCCTACTAGTCCGTCACTACAAGAAGTGGGGCGGTCTCGTTCTGCCACCCCTCCAAGCAGCCCGAGGGCTACAAGACGCCCACGAGGTGGTCGCAGAGCAAGAGAAGCAGCGAGGAATGACTTGGGCATCCGGTCGTTCGCTGATGAAATACCCCAACTGGTAAGATATGGGATGGACTTTTGCTGGAGCGAGATGAGACTGACATGAGGAGGCGCGATACTCGCGGTATGGCTCCGCCTCCGGGTTTCCAGGGACCGATTGCGCCGCCTGCTTTTGCGCCGGGTCCTCGTGGTGAATCTAGTCGTGGACGAGGTGGGACCCGTGGCCGTGGTGGTTTTGGAGGAGGTTACTAGCGGTCAGCTCTACACGCTTGAGACAGAGCACGTCGCGAACACAAAAATATACGAGTTGACGAGAAAGTCGACTTGGAGATGGGTGAACTCATTAGATGACTAGATGTCGTCCAGGCCTCGCTATTATGGATACTTTCTCTCCCCAGACCTCTTCGTGTACGTGAAGCTCACTACACTGCCATGCTCTTGACATCAGCAGTAAGCTTCAAAAAGTTATTTCCAGCAGCATCTTCCTTGATCATCTCCGCAGCTCCCTCCCCAATACCATACGCCACCATCTGCGTATGCCCATTGTTAACCTTTGGGATGGAAGACACGTCCGCCACACGTAGATTCCTGACACCGCGCACACGAAGTCGCGAATCGAGAACAGCATTCGGGTTATCCGCTTTACCCATCGCGCAGGTGCCGGATGCGTGGTAACCTATATCCACCACATTAGTATTTTTTCGCATTTGTAGATGAGAATGGAAGCGACTTACAGGTAGTAGCATGTTCTCTAACATGCGGCTCCCACTCCTCTCTGGTCTCAAAGCCATGATGCGCTAGGGCGTCAGGCCAACTCCCCTTGATCAAGCTCCTTGTCCCCTTCCCCTTTGTAACAATTTCGTTCGCAAATCGACATGCCTCAGTCATGACTAGCATGTCGAGTGGATCTTCCAAATACGCATGATCGACAATGGGGTTTTCGAAGGGATCAGCCGACTTCAGCGTCACGCTACCCCTGCTATGCTGGTTGAAGAGCAGTGCACAAATGGCAAAGGCTTGTTTGTGATCAATGGGAAAGTCGGCGTATTGTTTGGGTCCGCCATAGAGTTCGGTGTTCCAGAATTCGATGTTGGGTTGCGAGGGGGTGAGACCCATAGGATCTCGGCCGGGTTCGCGAGGGGCGTCTGTCCACAAGGGTGAGTCTTGGAGGCGCTCGTCTAGGCGCGCGTAACCGAATATGCCGAAGGGGAAGGTCGATAAGATGCCTGTTTTCTTCTCTTTGTATAACGCGTAGGTCGAGGTCATGGCGTCGTCGTGGTATGCGAGGTGATCGTTCGTGAGGTTGGGTTCGGAGACTTCGTAGAAGATGAAGCAGAGAATGTGGTCCATGAGATTGCCGCCTACACCTGGCAGATCAACGCGACACTCGATACCATGATTTTCGAGTTGTTCCTTTGGGCCAAGACCAGAGCGCATCAGGATCGGTGGGCTGCAGTATGCGCCCGCTGCGACAATGACTTCTTTTCTCGCGTGGTAATCGATCTTCTTGCCATTCTTCGATATCGTAGCGACACCCGTGGCTGCCAGGTCTCCGGAATCTTGGCTGAAGAGAAGCTTGTCAACAGTCACTTCCGTCTTGATCGTGATATTTTCCCGTCGATAGCCTTTGGTGATGAAGTCGGCGGCGGTACTCCGTATACCTTGATGTATTGTTCGCGGTACATCGCCACATCCGTGAGGGGTTTCTCCGGTGGAGAACATGTCCGCGTGGTAAGGAAGACCCTGATCAACAAGACTTTCCCTAACACGTTCAGATATGGGTGCCAGGTCGTGAGGCTCGATGTGCAGAGGTCCTGATGAGCCATGAACAGACATATCCGCTTTGTGCCAGTCCTTCTCGTGGAAAGTCTCGGACTGTATGAGGGTCAGCTTGTGTGCTCTCACATCTCTGCACTTCCAGAACCGACCTTCTTCATGTATTCGAACATCTTATCGCCAGTCCACTCATCCAGCCCCCAGTCATCGTAATCCTGCTTGGTGCCCCGTATACAAAGCGTGCCATTCACGCCACTCGATCCACCAAGGAAGCGTCCTCTGCTGACCTTGACCTGGCGGTTGTCTACCTTGGGCATGGGCTCGGTAACGATGTTCCAGTCTGTTTCTTTATCGAAATTTTGGCTCCATCTATGGTGATTTACTTAGCATAACCCAATAGCATTATACGTTAATATGGCTAACTTACCCTCCCGCCATATGTACATTTTCAAGGTCAGCATTGTCGGGTCCGGCTTCTAGGACGAGGATTTTGGCGTTAAGATCTTCCGCGAGACGGCCTGCTATTACACAACCGGATGTGCCGCCACTGATGGGTATATGTTAGTAAAAATATCTGAGGAATGCTACAGTGAGTATGATAAGAAGTCAACTTACCCGCAAATGATGTAGTCGTACACTTCTGTAGGGTCCACCGAGTCGACGCGTTCAAGAGACATGGCTGGTTTGTGAGTAGATGATAGAGGAAACTTGCCTCCCGATGCGCAGTACGAGGTCAGAGTCCATATAACGTGGTCTGGTTAGTCTAGAGCTATGTGCAACGGAATGAGACCGCGGTCCACGGTAGCGCTACCGGGTACGATTCTACGAGACTAAATGTTGAAGCTGAGTGGCTACTATGCCTTAGCCAGGCTACTTTGACATGTCATTTCAGTGACGCTGAACCAATAACACGGAAAGTCATGAAGAATTTGGAAGACTTGCTTCAGTCTGCTTACACGCATATGCATCTTCCTCATCCACGTAGGCCTCCATTTGCCAGGAGAGCGGAATGAGTCCGAACTTGTCGATCACGCAGCATTTAAGGTTCGGGCCTAGTCCATCTTCTTGGCTGTCGAGGAAGAAGCAAGGCCTGAGGGCGCTGGAAACTGGGGTAGCGCGGGAGGCGGACGAATGAAGCGGGAATGGGCGAGATGTAGCGCTCATTTAAGTTGGTGCCCGGTCGTGGAGACGTGCACGCTGGCGCGTGGAATTGCATTGCGGGGTAAACCCATGTCTCCGAAGGGTCTACCTAGGTATGCACACTAGCCTACTCAGCTCAGGTACGTCGATTCAAGGAACGCAGCTCTTCGAAGCCCTGCTGTATAGTTATATGCCCTACATACCCATCTCTATATCCTTCGTTTCGTAACTTCCGTGACCGAAGCCGTCCTCTCACGCGTCGTATGCACAATCGTCTTCGCCTCCATTGAGTTCTTAGTCGAGCCCAACTCTTGCTTCTTACTCTTAACAATCGCTGGATGTCTTGTGTCCGCGGCTACGCGCTCATAGGCAGTCGCCACAGTCCCGACTACTAGACAGAGCAGCAAGATCAGGTCAACGATGTGCACACCCCACCACCAATGCTGAACCCCGACTCCACACGTGCTAAACTCGAAGACCCACTCGCCTTTCTCGCCCTTACTTTCATCGAACCACGCTGATAGGAAACCTGCGTAGCCTGAGTACTCTCCCATCATGCTGCGGAGTGTAATCTCGCGAATGTGAGGGACATCGTTGATGGAAGTGCATTCGTTGGCTGGGGTGATGTCGTATGGACGAGTTGGGAAGCGACGAGCCTTCCATTTCGGTGGCGCGGGAGTTTCAGGTTCAGGCTCTGAAGTAGGCTCTGGTGCCGATTCAGATGCTGTCTCGTCCGAGGTCACATCGGATTCGGCAATGGTATCATTAGCGGCTACCACGTTGATGT